TTTTAAGACAGGATCAGTTGATATCACCATTTATTTGTTTCAAGATAGACTGTAGAGTGAAATATTTTAACTCTTCTGTTTTTTTTTAACTGGAAATTATGCTATTGTTTTTTGGAAATGGAGGTAAAACTGTAAGCCCTATATGATCTGCCTTGTGCCCTTCTACTTTGGGAATAGAGTCCACAGATTTTAAATGGATACAGGATAATCTACAAACAAACACTAAATTTCTCAGCCTGCTTTCAACTAGATACAATTCTGTGATTACATTTTAGCTGAAGGGATACAGGTGGTTATGGTGAACCTATTTTGTGCAATGTATTATAAACAAGAAAGAGCCTGTCCTTTGTCCTTTTTACTTTCATGGTGGCTAAAATATAGGTTTAATAACTAGAGCTCTAGCATTAATTTTGGACAATGAAGCTAATTCAAAAATAGATAGTATCTTATGGTAGAGATAGTCACACTATGATTCCCTAATAATGTACAGCCATTGTCCTATTTTTTCAATCAAAAGGCGTTACAGGCTAGTGCGATGGCTTAATAGGCTAATCCTCCACCTGCGGAGCCAGCCCCCCGGGTTCTAGTCCCGGTCAGGGTGTCAGATTCTGTCCCAGTTGCTCCTCTTCCAGTCCAGCTTTCTGCTGTGGCCTGGGAGTGCAGTGGAGGATGGCCCAGGTCCTTGGGCCCTGCACCCGCATGGGAGACAAGGAGAAGCACCTGGCTCCTGGCTTCGGATCAGTGCGGTGTGCCAGCCCCAGTGGCCATTGGGGGGTGAACAAATGGAAAAAGGAAGACCTTTCTCTCTGTCTCTCTCTCACTGTCCACTCTGCCTACCAAAAAAAAAAAAAAAAGGTGTTACAAAGCATGCATGGTAGATGTAATTAAAAACAAATTTATTTTGGTGGAAATAATTATTGAAATCTACAATGCAAGGGATCTTCAAACAGGTCATAGATAATGCATGCTACCAAAAATGCATTGATTTAAAAATTTTTCATATCAAAATACATATATTTTAATTTCACTTTCAACAAACTTCATGAAGTACTCTCATACTGAAAAAGATATATATTAACTTATTTAAACCACTTTATTATTTATGAAATGCATGAAGTTTGTGCACATTAAATAAAAGGTTTTTGGGTAAAAAAAAAAAACTCTTTAACTTCTCTATTACTTACATCTGAGCCTAATGCAAATTACTTGATCTTAGCCAAAAGGCTGAGAAGCAATCTAATACAAATTGATAATGACCTAAAGAGACAGCAAGATTTCACATTACTGAGAAATCCAGGTTCTTCTCAAAGAAACATAAAACATTGCAGAACAGAAAGATAAACACATAGCAGAATTGTTCTAAGGGAAAATCATAAATCAGGCTAGTTTCCTCGAGCCTATCCATCTTTGAGAAGATAATGTCAAAGGCTAGCTCTGAAGAGAAAGGATGAAGAATTAGTGGTGGAGGTATATAGAAAGTGAAGGTATATGGTAAATTTGGTCTGTGTGATTTAGTTAGTTATGCTATATTTGGAGATGATTAATATTAGGTTTCTGAAATCATAATATGTATCCAGAGATTCAATTTGAGAGTGAAGATTTCTTGACTCAACAATTGCTGCAAAGTGTTCATTGCATTGGCTAAAAATGTGGAAGTAGCCGTTAAAGGAACACAGACTCAGGGCTTCTATGATGCTTGTAATGTGTGTCACTCTATTTCTACTCACTTCTACAATAGTCTCTATTAAAACTTTGGTTTATTTGCTCTCTGTTTAAAGCCCTCCTTCCAGATTCTTTTTATACTTTGGATTCCCAGTACCTGTCAAGATCAAAGAAAGCTTACAGCAATACTTGCTCAGTGAATGGAAAATTGCATGACTTTCATCTAAACTGCCAGATCTAATACTAACCTTGGATACCTCCAGGTACCTTGTTTATTTGCCATTCACTCTGTACACCCAACCTTATAAGAGATGAACTAGCTCCCAAAACTGGGCCAAAGGTCCATGGAAGAACTCTAGACAACATCTGTATTCTATCCCTACCATAAAGGAAAGGGATTTCTGATATACAAGTGGTTGAGTGTCTGGCAATATAGGGCCAAATGATTCACAGGGTTTCCCAGTCACTGAAAACCTCACACACTATCCTAAGAGATATGGAGAAAGCTATCTATGATGAACAGAAAGTGAGTGAACTGTTTTCTTAATGGAGACAATACAAAATAGAGTGTTATAGAGATCAAAAGTGAAGGTAATAAATTTATTCTTGGGTAGATCATTGTAAAGGCAGATAATGGAGCCATTTTCATTCTAGAAAGGCAGAATGGCCAGTGTATTTACCTTTTCTTTCCTTATTTTGCAACGTAAGCCACACTTGATCAGATGTTATCTGCCCATTCAAAAAAAGAGATGCGCCTATTGGCTAAATGCCCTCCATGTTGTTTCTGTTCCCCAGTTAGAGTTCTTGCACTCTCTGTCTTGACTTCAAGTTCCTGGATATAGTATACTATTAATGCTTTGGGCAGGTTTTCCATGTACCTAGTTATTTTCACTACGAGAGATTTCTGATGGAACTTAATGTAGCTCTATGGCTTTGCTGCCCATATTGCACTGCCCTTCCCACTTGCCTGAGTGCCAGTGCGGGCCCTTCCTTATTTATTTGCTTGCTTTGGCTGAGAGTATCATCCGGCTTCTGTAACATGTGGAGAGTTAACCCTTCCCACCTCATGGGGCAGCCCTCGACCACACAGGGATGGCAGTTGGTGCATCAGTGCCTAAGTTCTCTGGACCCTCAAGCACATGTTGTACATTAAGTTTCAGAGTTTACCAAGTGAGATTAAATAAAGTTTGTTGCCCACATAAACCAGTTCTGGTAGCATATCCTAAAAGGCTGCTTTCTCCTCCCCCCCCTTTTTTATATTCCCCTTTACCCACAAGAAATTTCTTCAACTCCTACATCAACAACTTACACTTGGCATTTTGTCTTACCCTTTGCTTATAGAAGAACTAAAATAAGATACTCTCCTTAAATATTGATTCTTTCCTCATAAATGTTAAATATAACCCATGGTACAAATCTCTTGGCTGCTACCCAAGTCTGGCCATAGCAGATGTTTCACCTACTCCAGTTTATACATCAAAAACAAGCAAACCAATGAATGCCTGTATTTAGCTCATTCACAAAATCTCAGTAGTGAAAGACAGATTCAGTACCGCTTGTAAACTTTTATTCCTTTGATCTGCTGAAAATTAATGAACATACTCTCCTTTCAGCCATGTCTCTAAATAGATTAAACAAAAGTATAATCAAATTAGCATGTGATACAAGGAGAATAGGAACTAAGTACATGCATTAAAAGAGAAATCTCACCTTTAGGGAAGAAGAAACTTCTGAATTTTCCCCAATTTTTTCACATTAGACATTTTTATATGAATATCTTCATCTATATTACTGGTCAGAATTTTTCACTAATAATTTTGGTCTAGATGCAATTGTTTTTGGCATCTTTTATGTTGCCTTCTATGTCTTTTTAGTAGAAGACAGGAAAACTATTAGAGATGGTATGCATGAAACACAGTATTTTAAGTGGAACAGCTGGATACTATATGGGATGCTGGCACTGCAGGCAACAGCTTAACCTGATGTGCCAGAGACCCAGCCCAGTATTTTAAGTTTGTAAAGCTATTTATTTATTGAAAGAATGACTGAATATTTAATGAAAGAATAACTGGGAATAATGAAAAATCCAGGAGCTGGTTTGTCTTAAAATTAATGTCCAGTGATTAAGGAATTCATTTGTACAAACTCCCATTTTTTAAAGATTATTTGAGAGTTAGAGTTACAGACAGTGAGAGGAAGACAGACAGAAAGGTCTTCCTTCCATTGGTTCACTTCCCAAAAGGCCACAATGGACGGAGCTGCACTGGTCCAAAGCCAGGAGCCAGGAACATCTTCCTGGTCTCCCACGCGGGTGCAGCAGCCCAAGCACTTGGGCCATCCTCCACTGCTTTCCCAGGCCATAGCAGAGAGCTGGATTGGAAGAGGAGCAGCCAGAACTAGCCCATATGGGATGCTGGTGCAGCAGGTGGAGGATTAACCTATTGCGCCATGGGCTGGCCCCCAAACTCCCATGTTTTACATCATTATCCACTAAAGTTGCTGCAAGCAAACATAGTTGGGAGTATAACAGATTTTGACTTCATGCTGGATTGGGAAAATACTTGTTTTCTATATTTTAAGATTTATTTACTTACTTTGAAAGGCAGGGTGGCTGAGGAAGGGAGGGAGGAAAGGGAGGAGGGATTGAGGGAAGGATTGAGAGAGTGGCCATCTTTCCATCTGCTGATTCCCTCACCAATGACTACAATAGCCAGGGATGGTTCAGCCTAAAGCCAGGAGCCAGGAACTCCCTTGGGGTCTCCCTCTTGGGTGTCAGAGGCCTAAAAGTACTTAGGCCATCTACCTTGCCTTCCCTAATGCATTAGCAGAAGGCTAGATAGGAAGCATCATACTTGGGGTTTGAACCTGCCCTCTGATAAGGGATGCTAGCTTTGCTAAGTGGCATCTTAACTTGCAGTGCCATGACGCTGGCCCCAAAACTTGTTTCTTGAGAAATGAGAAACAGACACACTTCAATTGTATTCTTTGGGCAGAGCAAAACTCAGTCAAAAATCTACATCAAGATTACTGCCAATAAATGTAATGCAACACATTTTAGTAGTTTCTGTTTTATTTCATGATTCCAAGATGGATGCCCTCTTCTCATTGGAAGAATATTAAGTACTATCAGAATGTTAATGTGAGAAAATGAATGCTTGTGCTATTAGTGGTCTTGTCCTTTAATTTTCCCATGATAATCTGTCTTCTTTCAAGGGTAGACCTTCACATTTCCTCCAGTTATTATGCTTGTGGAGTGTTTTTAGATTCTCAAAACCTGGTTGATTTTTATGTATTCCCATCTACCTCTCCAAGTGGAACACAATTTCCAGTGTAGTCAAATGACAGAGTCTATTAGCAAAGTAGTTTTGCATTTGTACCATCTGGGTTCCTGAATCAGCACTAACAGAAACCATAGACCTCGTCAATGATTCTATCTAGAGGAATTATGAGTCACAACAGGAATATAGATACCTGGAAATACTAAAAATCGAGCAAGTAGACTGCAAAATTTCTGTTGAGATAAGTATTATGGATTGTATTAGACCTCACTCAAGTTCCTGTGACAGAAACAAAACTCAATCAGATAAGTTCACAAGACGATTGATTGAGTTACATTAAAGGGTATCTAGGAGGCAATCTACTCAAGACATGATGTAATCAAGGAGCTCTTGCAATGCTGCCAGGGGTGGTTCCCCACATCCCGCCCCGCCACCATCTTTCCTTCCTCCCTCTTTGCCCCTCCCTCCTGTCCTGGTCTCCTTGGCTTTTCTCAGTAATTCAACATTATTTTCAAACATAATTACTTCACATCTTGGAATTCATGATTTGTACTTCTGAGCCCATGTTCCAGTGATTGACAAGAAAGGATGAAGAGAGATACTCTGCTCTAATAATCCTGTGCCAGCTTTCAAAAGATGTTTTCAGCTGACATGTGTGCCTACCTTGAATTAAACTCTGTGACTTTTTGAGGTAACAAATAGTGGGGAACAAGACAGGATAATGCAAGTAAGAATTTTCAAGAAACAACAAAAAAGGGAGAAAAGTGATTCAATTTCCCAGTGGGGAAATAAGTGTTTTTTTTTTTTTTTTTTAAATCAGAATAAGCCATAGGGATACTGGCCAGGTGGGAATAAATGAAAAACGTAGGCAATTTGGCATCATAAATGCCACCTAAACATGTGAGAAATTTAGGTGGCAGGCAAGGAACTAAAAATGGTCAAATCATGATACATTTTCATACCATGCCAGACATTTTCAACTTTATTCCACAGGTGATGAGGGAAGTGAGAATGATTTTAAGCAGTGGAACGGAATGGTTGAATTTGTGGTTTCAAACTATCACATCAATTTTATGGTGAGGGATGAGTGGGCATGAAGAATATGGATGATGAGTGTTAGGATTTGGGGAAGCCAGGCAATGCAAATGATTATCTCTGAAACAATCTAAGGTAACAGCCTCTAGCAATGGTAATCTGAAGACAAGTTAAGCAGGAACCACCATCTCACCGGCTTTTCCACTTAACCCTCATAATCTTTAAATGCATGGCTGCTGGCATCTTCTCACGCAAAGGTCAACATGAAACAGCACTCTCAAGTAGCACATCTAAACAGCCTTTCATAATGCTGCATAATTGCTTGCTTAAGTGCTTGCATGTTGCGTGATAACTGCTTTCCTAAGTCCAGCATTGCTGTTAATTCTCCCTTTTTCCAATTCCTTTTCTACAATTTTACTGCTCTATAGGAGCTGAGGATTCCTCATATGAAAAGCAGCCTCCAGACTGGTATTATTTTAGTGTTTTGATTTCAGTCTGTGCATAATTTTGTACCACAGAAACCATGCATTGGGGCCAGCTCTGTGGAGCAGCAGGTTAACACCCTGACCTGAGGCGCTGGCATCCCATATGGGCACCAGTTCTAGTCCCGGCTGCTCCTCTTCTGATCCAGCTCTCTGCTGTGGCCTGGGATGGCAGTGGAAGATGGCCCAAGTCTTTGGGCCCCTGCAACCGCATCGGAGACCCAGAAGAAGCTCCTGGCTCCTGGCTTTGGATCGGCACAGCTCCAGCCCCTGTGGCCATCTGGGGAGTGAACCATCGATCGGATGGAAGACCTCTCTCTCTCTCTGCCTCTCCTCTCTCTCTGTGTAATTCTGACTTTCAAATAAAGTAATACATCTTTTTTTTAAAAGAAAAAAGAAACCATGCATGATCTGAAACTGCTTTCAGTAAAAATCTATATTTTTTATTTTATTAATATAGTCAATAACTATTTATCAAACATACACTCTATTCAAGGCTCTTTGAAACTCATCGTGGTTTCAAAAATGGAAAAGACCAGACCCTTAACCATTATGAATCCTTGTTTGTTAGAAGAATGGCAATGAATTCTCCATGAAGTGCCATGAGGAAAAAAGAACTAGGAGAATAATCATACCAAAAAAAGGTGTAATGTACTAAAGCTATTGAAAGGAACTTTTTTTTCTCGTATTGACGTGAACATTGCAGATGAAAAGGGGGGAAAAAAAAACGTTTTGCAGGAGGCATTATATATACTCTCAGAAGTTCACTCAAAGTGATTCACTTGATTTTTTCTCAACCTGTGGCAGGTTGGGTTCTCTAGTACGCTGAATCTGAGATGGTGATTTGTACATGGAAAGCTTATTGGAGATTCTTCATGAAGCCCACACCTTGAAAATAAAGGGAAGGAATTAAATTGTAATGAGAGAGAGAGAGAGAGAGCGAGAGAGAGAGAGCACCACAAAACAGAAAATAGACTCAAAGGATGTGTGATCAGCTCTGCAGGGGGTTGTACAGATGAGGCAATGCTTAGAGCTGCCCTACATTGGAGTAAGAGGGTCAACTTCTTATAACCTTGTTTTGATCATTAATAGGATGCTGGCCTTCCAGAGAGGGTGTGACTTGAGCAAGCTCTCTTCGGGTGACACAATACCTGGGAAGGGCTGTCACTTTATGGTTTGCTGAAAATAGTCTTGGTAGCTAAGATATGAAGTTCATTTTTTCCTGAATGAAGATTTGAATGATCCATTACAAAGTCCAACAATACCACCCCTGTCTTCAAGACTATGGGGGTATTAAATGGAAGTATTACCTCCTATAGATTCTTGATTTAATTTTTTCTGAGTGATTATTTAAGCTCCAAGTTGGATACATGAAACAAAGTTGCTCTTGTCAGAAACACCTATACAGGATGGTTCTAAGTGCATGGTTTAACCTTTTATGGTTATCTTCTGCTTAGCTAAAAAATATGATTTTATAGAATTAGGACTTTTGATATCAATTTTATCCTGTTAACTCTTCCAATTATAAACCAGAATTTTACTTATCTCTAATCCTTGATGTTAGCACCTGTTATACCACCTAGGCCTAAGCTCCCAAACTGAATGAGACTGGGCACCAGTGGATAATCTAAAGGCCAGTGGAATGTTTATTGCCCAGTGAAGCCCCTCATCTGAGACATTCCAAACTGCTAAGACTTTGCCTGCTGTTTTTATGAATGTAGCCTGGCTTCAAACCCACTACACTCTTTCTAGGCAACCTTACCCTCTTTCTCTTTACTCCTTTTTCTTTTATCCGTGACATAAAGGCTTTTCTGTTTTAACTGGTCACCTCCTCACCTTCTTAGATCACTAAAAATGCTAAAGCCTAACACTTGAGCCTCAATATTAATTGAGTTACTTACTAATTAATTAAATTTACTGAGCATTTCTTCTGCACCATGCATTATTCTGAACACATTTACCTGTAATAATATATTTAATCCTTACATTAAATATGTTTGGTTTCTAGCATTTTATTTTCATTTTTAGGAAACCAGCGTACAGAGGGCTTAAGTGGCTTGTCCAAAGTTGCATTGCACTTAAGTAAAGTAGCTAAGATTTGAACCCAGGTATTTGGCTCTAAATTCTGTGCTTGAATTCACTCTCTGCCATTGAAGACCTCATCATTAGTGGAATAATGTAGTTGACCAATTACACTAATGACATTAGTTATTGACTTCCTCTGCATTCATGAACTTTGTCTTATGACCCTGCAATCCCTTCCCACTCCCAGGGATAGGAACATCTTCATCTTAAACTCTGGATCCAGCCCTATGTCTAGCTTTGGCCAAAAAGCTTATAGAAACTATGTAAGGATAAACTTGAAAGGTATTTTCCTGATTGGGCTTGTTCTTTGTCATTCATCTGCATTATGCAATCTTCCCTGGATCACCTGTTTATGTTGGAAGATGAAACATATAGAACAATACTGAGTTATCCCTGTAATTTGGATAAGACCATTTCAGTTGATAACCAGTCAACAACCTCCAGTCAAAATTGGAAGGGCCACTTTGCTCACTTGTAATCAACACAAATACATGAGTGAGTCCTTCTGATAAACCCAGAATACTATGAACTAAATACATACTATTTCATGCCCATGAGAGTCTGAGATTGTTATGAGGCAGTTGCGTGACAATGCAAATAAGTAATACAAACATAATTAAAGATGGTCTGATAGAAGTGCAATGAAAAGGAAAAGTACAGTAAAACTTTTGATCATAAGTGGAGTTTTTAGGGGGTAATAGGTTCCTAAGGGAACTAACACAAAATTACTACTGCAGAAATAATTTCCAACAAGATTTTGTTTTCACATGGGAAGTATTTCTTATTTATACCCAGGAGTATCTAATATGTCTGATTTTATTTGTTTTTTCTAAGTTACTTCTCTTTTTTTAAAAAAATTATTTGAAAGGCAGAGTTACAGAGAAAGAGCGAGAGAGAGAGAGAGAGAGAGCAAGAGAGAGACAGAGACAGAGAGAGAGAGATGTCTTCCAACCACTGGTTCAACCCCAAAAGGACTACAGCAGTGGGGCCCGGATGGTTGTGAAGCCAGGAGCCAGGAGCAGGAGCCCAAGCACTTGTGCCACTCCTGCATTCTCAGGCACTTTGGCAGGGAGCCGGATTGTGATACGGGGTCAAGTCAGGAAGATGAGATTAGCTTGACTAAATATGTGAGCTGGAGACCATTCCCTGCGCCCCCCCATCCTCCTGTGGTCTCACACCCCCTATGTGATCCCACCTGTATCTACCCAGCTGCCAATTAGACTGCACGACCACTCCCCTTCAGGAAGTGGATACTAGGCTGGGGAGCTCAATGGACCTGCCCTGCTCTTCTGCACCTCTTATGCATGGGGCCATTTTGTCCTTTTTCCCCCTGTTTTGCCCACACACTGCACTATTTGTGGTCATTCCTGCCCGCCAGGCTCTGGCCTGTGAATGCCCACACGTGTGCCCTGATCTGCAATAAATCCCTCACATTCCTGTGTATTTCTCTCACTTCCCCAAATAAATCCTGAATTTTACTATGTGGCTTGCCTTGTTTATGTTTAAGATGCTTCTCTAAGCTTGAGACAGGCACTTGAAATATAAATTCTGGCTTAGAAGTTAGATGATATCAATCGTAAGTAAAGCAGCTAGGACTCAAATTGATGCCCATATGAGATTCCAGCACTGCAGGTGGCAGCTTGAAGTGCTATGCCATAGTGCCCACCCCTGGACCATCCTATTTGTAAGATCCATTTTTTAAAAAGTTGCATGTAAATTCAGCTATAATAACCTAATGTTAGGATGGTAGAGATTTTCATTAATCAAATTTTCAGATGAAGTTTCCTTTTAATGAGGAGGCAAAAAAATCTGGGAAATGAATAATTTCCAAAAATATCTTGTGATACGTTGGCTCCAAGTAGATGCACCTGTATAAAACATAAATCAATGTGTCATTTAAAATTTTAAACAGAACAAATTAATTAGCATATGGCTATACTTTGAGTGTTAGTTTCACACGTTTATGATGCAAATATTAATTATAACTCTAGCACTCAAAATATTATTCTACTTCTGCACAATTTTTTAACCAGTAACAAAGTCTTTATTTACTTTGGAAGTTTTTTTTTTTTTTCTATTGGGAAAAATG